CTCAACCAAGCCTCAAAGCATCAATACTCAAAACCACTATGTAAAACTTGAAAATAAATTGCAACAAATTAATTTCCCGATGCGCATAGATCAAAACAGACGAATTAAGTAAGGATAAACATAAGAGGCAGCCCCATTCCTCTTTCCAAATAAATATCTTCGACAACGCCATCAAAAATATGAAAACAGGATTGATTTTTATTTCCTTCGGCACAAATAGTGTTACTCAATTTCAATTTTCTTTTCAACAAAACATAATGGTCAAATATATTTACAAAAACATATGTAGACGTATTCAAAGAGTGTATTAAATTCACCTTTTTACTCACAACCACTACAACTACGAAACATTCGAGGTCGCAGAAACCCCGTAGCACCGGTACCGATCAAAAAGGGGGGACGGTAGTACCCCAGCCACGGCCGCTCAGCTAACGAGGGTGAGAAGGGCCTAGCTGACCGCTGAGTAGCTGTGAAGTTCCTCTCAACACGCTGAGGGGGGGCGACGACGCCCCCGCCCCTGGGGGAACGACCCCCCGTCGGGTCGGGGGAGGGACCCCTTTCAAACCCAGGGGCACGGTGGCTAACAGGCGAGCGCCAAGCGTCGCCCGACAGAGGGCGTGGCTGAGCGCCCCCGCCCGTGTGGTCGAGGGCCCGGCAGAGCCCCGAGAGGAGACGACGTTCGCACCCAGGCACAAAACTGCATGGTGATTGCCCTGGCAGTGCGGACAGGGCCGCTAGTGCGGGCAGTCTCGCTGGAGGTGCCTTTCCAAACACGAGTAGCACCAGCGGCGCTCCTTGGCGACAGTTCGCCTCGCCGGAACCGGCTTACCCAATAACTTCGGGTACGACGTCAGCCTGTGATCGGATGCGCGACAATAGGAGCAGGGGGGCGCCTCCCTGGCCGCTAGGCCACTGTAAGATGGTAGGGAGCGGAGCCCTCCCGCGGGAGCTCCGATCGGCCTTAGGAGGGTTGGCGGCAACTTGCCCGGCGGATTCCGCCTCTCACTGGGCACGGCTCGGTTGTCAACCCGTAAGTCGCCGACGGTGCCCGCTGCGTTTTCAATTTGTAGGCACTGCTCCTCCAAGAACCGCAGCATATCACTGAAGGGCGGAATATAGGAGGCGCCGTCCCCGCCGTACCTCTCCTCAAAATGTATCCGAAGGTCGAGAGGCAGGCGGGACAGCACGATGTGGAGCAACAAGAAGGACCATTAATCCACCGGTAAATCCAGCCGCCTCAACGCATTACAGGCCACCAAGACTGGATTCACGATGTCCGGGCGTAGTCTGGCCCGGTCCCTAAGCAGCGGGAGGCTTAGAAGCTGCCTAACGTATTCGTCCGCGATTTGCCGGACGTTGGCGTATCTTCCGGCGAGGAGGTCCCGAGCAATCTGGTAGGCGTCGTCCGACAATTTCAAATGGCCGACGACGCCCAGGGCCTCCCCCTCCAGTGAGGCTAGGAGGTACGCCATCTTCTGGCCTGGTGTCAAGTCCCTCCGGGCATCCACTAGACTATCAAAAAGGCCAATAAAAAGTCATCCAGTCGGAGAGGACCCCTGAGAACCTTGGCAGGTCCAGAGTTGGGTGTCGACCCAACAGCTCCGGCTGAGTAGGCTGCTTCCGAGGGGACTCGGCTAGGCCACTCAGCCGAGCTTCACGCGCTTCATTAGCATACTTGGCCCCCGCCTCGATCAAGTCGTCCGTGAGCGAAAAGAATTTCTCGTAGTCCGCGAGGCAGGAGTCTAGGACTCCCTGTTCCGCATCTGAGGCCAAAAGCTCTGTGCAAGCCTCCTCCACTACGGCCCTTCGGGCATCGACCTGCTCGAGCCGCTTCCCTAAACTATGGACCCGATCGGATCGCCATACCAAATTATAGGCGTTCGCGGCCCAGCGCAGCTCCGCCTGCAGGCAAAGCGCAGTGGTGAAGCGGTGGCTTGTGCGATGGCATCACTACTAAATACAAATTACTACAAATGCAAATTACTATTTATTAAATTAAATACAAATTACACTATAAATACAAGTACACACTACAGTCGGTCAGCAAAGATGCCTCGCTCTGGCGACCGACCCTTCGGCAATTAATCTACTATAATTATACGATAACGATAATTATACGATTATGTGATAACGATAATTATCTACCTACCCGAAATACCTGACGCGTACGCTAACCTAACCTAACCGTAAACTACACTCCCGCTTGCGCAACCTAACGGGCGTGGTTTCTAATTCTACGCACCTATCCGCTAACAAACAAAGGAAGCCAACAAAAAAGAAATTATTACGTATTACGGCCGGGCGTGATTGTAGAAACAATCAACCACGCTCTGCTACCAGAAATGTTACGGCTCCCAGCTGCCCCGGCAAAAGTCGAATGGGCTAGGGCTCATAGTAGCCTCCTCGACGAGCAGCCGAGGGTTCGGGCCCAATGGCCTATAGATAATTCTAAATTAATGGCAAATAAGCAAGCACAACTTACCGAGTTCCGGAGGTAGGGTTGACCACAGGGTACCGTCAGGGGCAAGTGGGGTGTATGTGAGTAGTGTGTAGTAGTGTGTACATGTAACCTGACTTAACCGATGTAGTCGGACCGCACTATTAAACATCATAGAGAGGAGAACACATCAGTGAGAACTCATTATTAAACATCCAAAAGTGACGTCACGAGTTGAACAGCATGGCGGCTACCGGTTTCACGCGAAACGTTAGATTAAAATTATTAAAAACTATTCGGTTTTAAAAAAATTATAAAAAATTATCTTCAAATTCAAATTCATTTATTTGCCATAAATAGGGTAAATTATAGGTCTTTACAATAAAAATAAGTTGCTTAAAGACCTATTTAGCCATGAGGTACGGCATGCAAACTTTTTTTTAAATTGTACAAATTATGTTGGTGGTAATAGATTCTAAATTGTCAACTTATTAAATGTAAGTTATATAATTCAAAATGTCGTAATTTACAATGTCAATGTCATAATTAAAATTTAAATTTAAATACATCCGATCATTAATTAAAGGTCAGATAAAATAGTGATACTCAGTGATACACAGCAATTTTGTCCATCACATGTCAACCTGCATATTATTATCATTTTGAAATTCCTTAACACTATAATAACATTTTTTTATTAGCCATTCACGTAACTTTTTGGTCATGAGAATCATAGAGCCGTGCTTGAACTGCTTTGGAATTTTATTAAATATTTTTACACACATGCAGTAACAACCTTTCTGAAAGAGAGAAGTTTTTGGTTTATGGTCTAGGACAAGCCGCTTATTATCTCTAGTGCTTCGTGGATATATATCACAAGCTGACTTAAATAACTCTGCATGTTGTTTGACAAATTTATATATTTGTAATATGTACATGCCAGGGACTGTTAATATACCCAGCTTAATGAATAGGGGCTTGCATGTATCAAATGGACCTTTACCGCATATAGCACGTATACATTTTTTTTGTGCGATAAGAACTCTATTTACTTCAATGCTGTTGCCCCACAGAACCAGACCATAATTAATATTAGACGCGACGTAACCATAATAAGCAGACATAGTTACGCTGAGCGTCGTTATCTTAGTTAAACGCCTTAAGACGAAAGCAAACCTATTAATTTTATTACAAATTTTGTCAATGTGGCCGGTGAAATTTAAGTTCTCGTCAAGTACTACACCCAAAAATGAAGCCATGGTAGTCCTTTCAATAGTTATATTTTTGTACAGCACATTAAGATTGTTTACTGCTCGTCTTTTTATATTAAAATTTATAAAATTGGTCTTGTTCAGATTTACATTTAGATTAATTAATTTAAGATATTGAACTATATTATGAATTGTATTATTAATGTCATTTTCATAACTATTTAAATTGTCATTATAATTCGATTTAACAATAATGGAAATGTCATCAGCAAACATTATGCATTGATGTTTAGTCACTCTCGGTAAATCATTATATATAATAAAAATAATATAGGACCTAGAACGCTACCCTGTGGTACTCCAAACTTATTTATTTTATAATCAGAACGATCGGATGTAGTTGTATTTCTCACGCTTATCCTATTTATTTCTACGCACTGGTGTCTATTTTCTAGATATGTTTTAAGCCAAGAGTGAGAAAGACCTCTGATTCCATACTTTTCCAGTTTATCTAACAGGACGCTATGAACTACAAAATCGAACGCCTTAGACATATCGAAGAAAAGTACAGTAGTACGCTGTTTATCATCGAGTCCAAGAATAACGTTATGTATTAGATTAAAGCACACGAGGGTAGTTGATTTTCCCTTCTGGAACCCATTTTGCTCCGGTGTAATGATTTTGAATTTTGTTAAATAGTCAAGCAGTCGTTTTTGCATGGCCTTTTCAAATACCTTGGATAACACCGGTATTAATGTAACTGGGCGTATAGTGGCTTATTATCACTCTAGGATTCATTTAAAACTTGAAAATGGGTGTAATACCTTATGGGAGTGCTTTCGTGAAAAGGGACGGAAGTGTGTAACAGGAAGCCGGGGAAGTGCGCGCTATTTGATTTGACCAATGAGCGCGCGGTGTTTAGTAAAGTGTGCTGTTATTTAAACCAATTTATATGTGGAAAGAATATTAATACATTTATTTACTATTGATAATAAGTGTCTGAAAAAGTGCAGATCATTGATAAAAAATGCAAGTGAGTAATAATTAATAATTATTCAAATAATTATTTGAGTATTAAGCTTTTTAAATTTTGAGGTTAATTTCTGTCGCTACTCAATTGATATTTTTAATTTTAATACATTTTTTTTTCAGGATATAATGTTGATGTTGCTTACTGCCAAGGTAAGATGTCAGATGTTACACATCATATGCGACTACTGTAAGGCTCGCTCGTTTTTTTGGTGAGTTCTCCTTAATGACTACAATATAATGACCAGAGAACTTCTTTCTAGCGCGTAAGAATGTAATAAAGATTTAAATGTTCGATAAGACTGGAGTGCAGTGTGACTCACCGGAAGGGTTTTGGTTGCCGGCGGCTGACGAGCGCACGCAATTCCGCCTCGCGCTCTGCCTCTCCAGCATCGGCAGCACCACCAGCTGTACCACCACCACCAGGTCCCGGGCGGTCACGAGGCGCCGCGTCGCAAGTATACAGCACACCGTTTACGCGGCTACCAAACTCCGAGTAGTTGATGAGCTCGAAGTGGCCCGTCACCTATACACGTACCATACCAATTTGACACCTCAATAATTTTTTTTTTGCCAAAAATTCTAGGAGGCAAAATTAAACTCTATTATCATAGACTTTCATTTTTCATTATGACGACGTTTTGGAAAATTTTACCAAACTGCCACAAAGAGAAAAAGAAGATGCTTCAATACAGGTGATCAAATAATACTCGCGAGATTATTTGATCACCTGTAAAACATCTAGACAAACTTACTTAAGGTAATAAACACTTCCTATAAAACTTTTATATAGCTGCATACGCGCCGAATATGACGTCTCCGTGCTCTATATGATTGCGACGCCTGCAATTTCTATCCACCCCCTTTTACACGGGGGATATGCTTACACATACCATTTATATTTTTTTTTATAGAAGAGAGGGCAAACGAGCATCAGCTCACCTGATGGTAAGTGACTGCCGCCGCCCATGAACAACCGCAACACCAGGGGAACCGGCCTTTTAAAAAGGAGTAGGCTCTTTTCTTGAAGGTCCCTAAGTCGTATCGGTCCGGAAAAATCGCTGATTGTAATCGATTCCACAAGATAGTTGTGCGAAGGAGAAAACTTCTTCTAAATCGCACAGTGGTGGACCGTTAATCATCCAGATGGTATGGATGGTATTGCGAGTTTTGTCGCGATGTGCGATGGTGAAATTGAGCGGCTGGAATTAGTCCGAACAATTCCTCGGAGCACTCCCCGTGATAGATGCGATAAAATACGCAAAGAGATGCAACATCTCTTACGCAGCGCCAGTGTATCGAGCCAATCAGAAAGAACTCGGTCGTCGACGATTCGAACCGCTCTGCGCTGGATGCGGTCAAGTGGAAGGAGCTGGCACTAGGGTGCCCCGGTCCAGAGATGAGAACAGTATTCCATGTGAGGCCGAACTTGCGCTTTGTAAAGTTGAAAACGATGTACCGGCATGAAATACTATCTCGCTCTGCTGAGCATGCCAAGCTTTTTAGAGGCCAAAAGGGCAAGTACGGGCTATGTCGAACTCGCATCGACTAAAACCCCATAGTGTTACACCGTCGTCGCATATTGGCAGGGCCACGCGAACACTTTCGCACACATTAGCAGCCCTAACGGCGCCGGTGCACCATGGCAGCTTCTCCTAGAAGAGTACTTCTTCCCTTTTCCTTCTCAGGTAAGGCCTCTAACTCCAGCTGCACAACAAGCGCCCATGTGCCCAATACTCGGAGGCCATGGGGCCAGAAAAAAGGAGCACTCAAAACATCAGCTTTTCCGATCGCAGCGGTGGATCTGTGCTGTATAACCGCCGCCAATCAAGTGTCGACCGCGGAAGATAGGGCGAGTGGCGGACGCATTGCTATACCAACACTCCTCTTCCCCCACGACTCCACCTCAGCTGTGACGAGAAGGGGGATAGGATATTCCTCCCGCCACAGTCCAACGCGCATTCAGAGTGGGCTAGGGAAGGCCACTCGGAGTAGTCACCTCGGACCAGTCAAGTGGGTTCCTCTTTGATCACCATGGGTAGAGTTGTGGCACTGTGGCAGGCTGGTGGCAGTGCAGCACGCACCTCATCGCAGAAGATAACCGCGTGCGAGCGCGACGCGTGGCGGCATCGCGCCGACAGCGGCACGTCGCAGCCCTCGCAGCCGATGCTGATGCTGGACAGCCGCATCGCGATCGCTGTACCAATCGCAGCGTCGCCGCCGTGTCTGTCACCAGAAAAAAACAATATTTATAATAACCGTTACAAGCTATTAATTAAAATCCACTGCAATACATAGGCCTCCCCCATATACTCAATTGATACATATATACACAATTGCTATCTGTACCCCCTATATGGGGAACACAGTGAACAATTGAGTCATGATCAAAGATTGTAAATCCCTTTCCTTTAGACCCTTCCTACCAGACAATAGATTTTTAGTTTTTAAAATTTAACTTTAATATATTACTAGGGTGGATAAAAAAAAGGAACAGATTTTTTTTATTGGAAGTAAAGACTAGAAATGACTTGGAGGCGGGGGGGGGGGGGGGGGGAGGACGACGGACTCGTACGTTAGACCTAGTAATGGCCAATAACCAAAAAATTAAAAACTCTTATTTCAGCTATTACTCCGCCTCCTTCGCACACAATCTTCTTACACAGTCTTTACTTCCCGCATCTCATTTGTTATACCTAGAAGTACTATTTCTAAGACCTAGACTAATTTATACCGTCAGTTACTTTATGTATCACAATGTTAGGAACTTTGATGTGATTTCTACAAAACAGTTTTTTATCATGCAAACACAAAAATATATTGCAGTGGGAACATTTAGTATAAGGTTTGGACTGAATCTTCTTGAAGTTGCAAACCTCACCACACTTTCCCCTCTTTTCTGAAAATGTAGGCCAATGTATTCTGTTACCCAAACATATATCTCTCAGAGTAGAATAATTCGATTTTCGTTTTACGGCGTACAGTACGTTTTCGTTGTACGGATAGAATGTTTAGAGCACGAAGCAAATACAAAGAGGAGGTGTTGTAATTACATTACATTATGTAACAACGCGTGACAATTTATGGGGTGAGGGGATGTTAAGCTCCGCCCACTTTACATTATCTACATCTACCGATAAATAGTAAAACTATTCGAATTGTTCCATATCGATGTTGCAATGTAGTTTAGCTACCTTGACGATAGATGGCGGCCTGTTCACAAAATGATTATAAACTATAAAAATAATATTTTGGTAAATTTCAGCACCTTCGTATGATTATTTTACCAATACTGAGCTCTACGTACCTTTATATTTTTAGTTTAATTGACACAAAGTGTCGCCATCTAGTGTGGAATAAATTTAATTATATTTGAAGCCGCCGTAAAGAGATTTTTCTAGAATTATTTTAATAAATTAGGTTTAAAATTACTTACAAAAAAAAATTTGATGCCATCCATAGCATCAGAGCGTCTATCTGAGTAGTTTTTACACAATAAAACACAACACTTCATCCTTTTCCTTTTAATACTACGAAAATACATTGATTTGCGATTTTCAACACACAAGCGCATAGGACGAATGCAGACATTATACTATCTAAAGCCACGTCCACTATGATAACGTCAGGACCTACTTAGAATCACAGTGCACAGTTGCTTATGCCGTTTCCTGTTTGTACTTGCTTCGTAGTTTAGAGTTACGAGCTATCGGGTTTGACTGAATAAAGTAATCCGTGGTAGTGATGAGTGCGGAAGTGGTCCTCCGAGGCGGACAAGTGTAGAGAGATGAGTCACCTGCCAGGCTTGACGGGGCAGAGCGTGGCGCGCACGGGCAGGTCGCGCGCGGCGGGCGGCGCGGGCGGCGCGGGGGGCGGGCCGGGGCGGCGCGCGGGCGGCGGCGCGCCCCACACGAGGCGCGCGATGCGCTCGCGGTCGGCGCGCGCCAGCAGCTCGGACGGCAGCTGCGCGCGCCGCACGCCCAGGCGCGCCAGGCGCGCGCGGTCCACGCCGCGCAGCAGCCGCGCGCCCGCCGCCGCGCCCGCGCCGCACGCGCGCCACGCGCCCGCCGCCACCTCGCCGCACGCGATCTGCGCACACACAAACTTACTAACTGAGCAGAATGACAGCCGCAAATTTTATTTTGATTCATTATTAAAAAGACACTGCTGCCCATCTCCTAATTTGTTTCCCCCTGTCGCCTCTTACGACAGCCACGATACGATGTGAGGTAGTGGATATTCTTACACCGCCACTACACGGTGGAGTAAACATTAAAGCAACGTTTAAACTCCACCGAATCTAAATAGTATATTTCATTACGAATGCGGATAGCCTGTCATTGCAAAGAGTTCCGACAAAAGTCTACCCGAGCCGAGGCGCAGCCGAAGGTGAGGGTTGACAGTCGGAACAAGTTGCAATAACGGTTCCGCACGTATACTGAACAACTATATTTAATACAGTTGCGAAAACATGAAACAATTAAATACAGAACATTTTTTAAAAATAGCGCCAACCGTAAAATAATATAAACAAAGATTTTTTTTGTTTTCTTCACCCATTCTGAATAGACAAAAGAACTATGCCCATATAGCCCATATAGCCAAATCTTCAGTAGAATTTTTTTATTGATATGAAATGAAAATGAAATTTAATAAACTGAAATGAAATGAAACCTAACCTAACTCATTGAATCAAATTGAATTCAATGAGAATCAAATCATTAACCCGCGAGTAGTCGCGCATGGGTCGAAAAGACCCAGTACCTTGTTTCTTGTTCCATAAATTTTTAAATGTTGCTTACTATTCAAGGTCGCGCTCAGTACCTTTAAGCTACAATATAGGCTACCCGCACGCCCCGCCTCACTCAGTTCACGTGCGGCGTTTGGACAGCACGAACGTATAAAGTGAGTATGGGTCGTTTCGACCCTTACGCGACGGTTTGTGTAAGTGTATTATTTTTCTTTAAAAATATTTTTAGTTTATTTTTTCTTTGCAGAAATGTCGCGTAATATTTTAGACGATCACAGAATTCAAGAAATTCTAGAGGAAGATGGTATTGAAGGAGAAGTCTCTAGAAGAAGTAAGAAATTGAAGATAACTTAGAGATCGACGATGACGACTCAAATTCCAGTCAAAGCGGCGATGATGATAATTCTGAGGCCAAAGATTTTTCAGCAGGTAATATTTCTGCCGAAATGTTACACAGAAGACCTGATCTCAGTGATGTGCCTCTGAGTTATATCCGTCAAGGATACTATGTGGGTAAAAATGGCTCCACTAACTGGAGTATTGAGGAACCCCTAGAAATGTTCGTACTCGTAGGCACAACATTATATTTCATGCGCCGGGAACGATTAATGAGGCAAAAGATGCACTTACGCCTTTGGACTGCTGCAGTCTTATGTTCCCTGACAGTCTTTAAGACATGGTTGTACACACATATACCAATATGTATATTGACAGTATCCACGATAACTTCCAAAGTGAAAGAGACTGCTTACCTATGGATTTGGTAGAATTGAAGGCTCTACTTGGGCTTCTTTATTACTGTGGAAAACTTCGTGGATCGCATTTGAACACCATGGATTTTTGGGCAACTGACGGCACTGGATCAGACGTGTGCATAGCTACCATGTCACAACAAAGATTTCATTTTTTACTTCATTGCCTTAGGTTTGATGATCCAAATACACGCGAACAGAGGAGCCAAGATGATAAACTGGCTGCAATTAGAGATTTATTTACCAAATTCGTTGAAATTATAAAGAAACATTACTCTTTATGGGATACAGTGACTATTGATGAAAAACTGGAGCCATTCCGTGGTCGCTGTCCATTTTGCCAGTACATGCCGAAGAAGCCTGCCAAATACGGAATAAAAATATTTGTAATGGCTGACTCAAGAACTTACTATTCGGCATGTTTAGAAGTATACACCGGAAGGCAAAATTCAGGACCACATGCTGTAAGTAACTCTCCTCCAGATGTCGTGAAACGTTTGTTTGAGCAAATAAGAGGGTCTCATCTTAACGTGGTAATGGATAATTGGTTCACGAGTATCCCATTGATGACAGAATTGTATGAAGATTATGAGCGTACGGTTGTAGGGACTCTTCGTAAAAATAAACCAGAAATACCCCCATACTTTGTTGCTACACGAGGACGAGAAGAATGGACTACCTACTTTGGCTTTAAGCCTAATTGTACATTAGTATCGTACTCACCAAGAAAGGGAAAAGTGGTGCTTCTTGCTTCTACAATGCATCATGATGCGAAAATAGATGTTGATACAGGAGATAAACGCAAGCCAGAAGTGATAACGGATTATAATATGCATAAATGTGGAGTGGACGTGGTTGACGAGATGTGTGGTACATATTCTGTATCAAGAGTAAGTAAAAGATGGCCACTAACGATATTTTTTGGACTTATGAATGTGGGATGTCTAAATGCGTTTGTTATTTATAACGCAAATATAACGCATATAAATCACGAACCCCTCGAAAGACGTAACTTTTTAAAAAAACATAGCTTTATCCCTTGTTAAACCACAAATAGAAAAGAGGTCTTCTATTACGACTCTGCCCAGACACATTCGGAGCAGAATGTTTCAAGTACTTGGCAGAGAAGAAAGTACAGATCAAACGGCATCGGCTGGGCCTAGTAACATTCGTGGGAGGTGTTCCACCTGCCCTCCTAAAAAGGATAGAAAATCCAAAACTCAATGCCTCTTTCATATGTAGAGATCACACCGCATTTTTATGCATTAATTGTAATCAGAAAATGAGTCAAAAATAAGATAAGACGGCAAGAAGACTAATTAGAAAACAAATAAGAAATATTTTGAGAAAGACTTTTATGAGAAGTTTGAAAGCTGATTATAAAAAAAAAACTTGTTATGTTAAATGTTTTATTTTATTGATTGTTTTAGGAGAAAATTTATTAGTTTTTGTAAGAATGTTTTTTTTTCAGTTATACTAGAATAAAAAAGTTAGACTGTGATTCTGGTTCCTATGCATAAAAAAGTAAGATTTAGCACTTAACTCTTTGCTATTGTGATAAAAATAAAAAATAAATCAAAATATATAAATATTTGTGACTCATTATTGTTTTAATTACCCTTTTCTTTTACGTTTATATAAAAAAAATATAATTCCCTTTTTTGGAATAGAATAATGCATTTCAATTTGGGGTCTTTTAGACCCTCACGCGACCGCTTATGTCACAAAATGAGACGCGAGTACCGGCGGGTTAAATCTGATATTGAAACAAATTAATAACTTCTTTTTAGAAATATTTGCATGAATAATAAAAACTTCTATGAATTTTTTTAGTAAAAACTTTGTGGTTGGTTTTTTTTTAATAGACATTTATTTATTTATTTATTTATAATTAATTACAACGGCTTGCGCCAATTACAGTAATTAATAGGTAAAACAGAACATATAACATAATTAACATAATTCAAAAACAAATAACAAGTCAGAGATCAAACATACTTAACAATAATTAGAGGAAATAAAATAATATAAAACAGAATAAAGTGATAACAGCATATAACTTATTTATCTAACAAACATGGCTTTCACATAACATGAGACAGTTTGACATGATCACCTTGAGTGTGTCATTAAAGATGTCACATTCCGGGACTGTCTCCATTAAGGAGTTTATAGCACCATGCATGCGACACAGCGGGGATTGCGCGCGCGACACAGTGCGGCAATAGGATGTGGCGAACAGCCGGTGTCGTCGAGTAGGCCTATGACGCAGGTAGTTGTTAGGCACATAAAGTGTACACAAAGTATTGTGCAGCTCTGGGGAATCGACCATGCTCCTTAAAATTTTTATGGCTATTAGGATCTGATCTCTGGCTAGTACAAATCTACAAGTCTCGATTTGATTTCCCATCCTTCTTACGCTTCACCTTCCGCCTCGTGGTCTTTATCGATTCAAATAATAAACTCTTTGCACATTCGATCTCCTCTGTGGAGAATGACGTAGAACAAATACGCACAATACTCTCTTCGTCCATGACGTCCATCTTATTTTGTATGAATGCCAGGAGTTCACAAATAACTATATTACAAATACTGCACTTCACTTTATTTGACATTATTGCAACGTCCTGATTTTTATTTTTGTTCAAAATCAGTTTAATAATATCCAAAATTTCCGATAAATATACTAAAAATACAAATTATAAAATTTTATTTATGCATTTCATTACAGTGACATTTTTAGTTTATTTTGACAGTTGAGAAAGAGAACGCACGAGTTCAGAAACGGTAAAGAAAAAGCTCCAGTATATAATAGCCCACATCCCGAACGCTATACGTCCCTGCAATACGCCACTTTTTGAGCAACTGTATTAAAAAATATCTTTCGACAGCTGTCACATTCATTGGACTAGGCACGTCAACAAAAAAATCAGTAAATAAAATCCCACACATTCTATTTTAGCCGGGCTTAAATTAGACTCAAATACCTGCGCAGGTACAATTTTTAGGAACAAAATGATAACAAAAGAAGTAGAAAAGTGGAAGCTAACTAAAACTACAGATATGAAAATAAAAATTGCACGGTTACAATGACGTAAATAATACATTATCTATTCGTTATCATCGATACTAATTCGATTTTATTTTATATTTTTATGATTCATTTGGTGTACAAATGCAACATGTCGTTCATTACAGTGATCGTGATAATGTGTATTAAAGATTTTATTTTAAAAAAAGTTTATTTTGGGGTTACTGAAAAAAAAATGTTGTTTCCACTAATATCGTGTAATTGTTTATTAATTAACTGTTTATCGTAATTCTTTATTAGATACTACTATATTAAAATACAAAAAAAAAATGTAATAATATTATAATTATGATAATAATTTTCAATTTATTTTATAATCGAAAAATAAAACAAACTGTTACCCTAAGCAATCTTAGGAGCGAATATGAGGTGGCGCATCTCTATCTACTAGCGTCTGTATGGAATGTCTCGGAAAGCCAACTTCAACCCGGCCATAATAGTACCCGGACCTTAAAATTTTCGATGCTTAAGACAAATTAATATCGATTCTTTAGAATAGATAACCATCTACAGTTTTATTTATATTAATATCAGAATAAATTAAAACACAAAATGTATCACTTTCTTTATATTTATTGCTTACTACTAATTTCTACAGACATAATTATATAAATTAAAGACTGTACTAGATTAAAAATAAATTTATTTAAACACTTTTACTACAAGTTGAACTGTCCTCGTCATCATCGTTGTTTACATTAATTATTATTTCATTTTCAATAATGCAGTCAAAATGGATGCATCTTTCATGATCATAATTTTATTTAATAAATAATAAATCTAAAATGTTAAGGGTATTTTTTTTTCTATAATTTGACCAATTATTCGCTTTAGCATGAATTGAAGGGCACAGGGAAAAAAGGAGCTCATTGACAATTTTACGTTTTTGGAATGAACTATACCATTTTACTTCGTTTTCTGTAGCCAATCAGAGCACGTTATTTTAAACACGATAAAAGGCGATGATTTTGTGTAAAGTGAATTGAAAAAAATTGTACTTTAGGATAAAACGCGCTCATTGCATTCCATACCGCGTAAAAAAGTACCCATTGTCTATGAAACCACGCTAGAACGGGCTGATCGCAGCGATTGTAACAGAAAACGCGCTCATAGTCAGCCATCTGTATTATTTTGTCATACAAATGACAGCTGCCAGATAAGCTTCCTTGCATAAATTTTACGACTCCTTTAGTGTACGTTAGGTTTTTAAAAGTTTTTGCTTATTTATCTCAAAATGGACAATAATACGTAGGACACTCAATAAGTTTTAAGATATACAAAAAGTATTCTAGATATTATTAATATTTATTTTACATCTTTTCAAAATATTCTCCATCATGCTCTATACAAAGTTTCATTCGCCTAAGTCAACTCTGAAAACACTTTTGTCAGTCTTGATTTGACAGGTCGGAAATAGCTTCTTCGTAGGCAGCCACGGCTTCAACACCAGATTCCTCAATAAATGCTTTTGTTCTAAGGGAGGTATGTGAAGAGGCGTTATCGTGATGCAGCATGATTCCCCGAAGCCCGGTCTTTGGTCTTCTCTCCCGCACAGCTTAAAAAGCTTTGGGTAATGCAACTGTAGTATACCATTCAGAGTTGACTGACCTACAATTTTCTAGCATTGACGTCGACAAATGTCCGCTCCGCGAAAAAAACTAGCCACGATTTTTTTGCCGACGTTGCGAGGTCTTTGTAGTATTGTCAGTAACTGTCCTTCTGAGTAGACCTATACCGATGATTGTCTTTTATTTTGCGGATCATATTCATAGATCCATGTCTCGTCACCAGTAACGATTTCTGAAACACGCCTAGATGTACCTTTTTCAAAACGCATTTCATGGCACCAATCGACAGGAGTCTGTTTTTCGCTTTCGGAGAGCAAACGAGGGATCCATCGACAACAAAGCTTCCTCACTTCAAGATGTTGATGTAGGATGGTATAAACGCTGCTTATTTCATTAGTGTGTTTATGTAATTAGACATTGTTTATGATCACCAATTAATTTGTAAAATGTAAAAAGGAGATCATTGTGATAATGAGCACCTTCTTGCCTTTTACATTTGGGAGTTAGGTAATTAAATTACAAACTATTGTTTATTTACCAACCCAATCTTTTAAAATAACAATATATTATGTTAAATATACACTGTTCCTTTTTTATATGGGTACAAATCATATTCTAGTAGAGTTGTAAGCGTAGAAATTGAAATTTTAGGTTTAATTCTTTAATTACTCGAAGCAATGAGAATGTTAATGAGCTCCTTCTTTTCCTGTGCCCTTCAATTTGAATCATCCCGACACTACGGAAAGAAACATTACGATATATCATTGAAATAACGTCTAGCAAAAAAGTTGATTTTGATTAAATCGTTTATATTTTTTACTATATTTAAAATATTCAAATTTAAATTAGTGTTAAAGAACTATGCGTGTTGTAATTAAATAGAGATAACTTCATAATCATTTGGTTTTACGTAAAAGGTTATTTTAAATCGTGTGAGTATGCTTGTACAAAGTTAAACCAGAGTTATTAATATGAAACGTCAAAAGATATTTTCTTAGATTTGGTTATTGGACGAACAACTGGCCGAGTTATTCGTGGACGAGTACGACGCATTTACATATTCGTCTGTATTCACTCAACGTAGATCTTTTAAACCTAGATGACGTGCGTCTAGTTACTACGACTTTGTGTCTACTTAACTTTTATAGAATAACAAATATGTTAAATGACAAAAATAAAAAAGACGGCAACGAAGATGGTGGATGATCGCCGTCAACCGCAGCCGAAACCGGTAAGTAAACTATTTTACTTAATAAATAATGTAGTTTCGCTCTCGTGAATTACTTAATTAGAGCTGAACCAAGTACCTACTTAATTTATTTTGATATATTTAATTACAGACAGGGATTGGAGAAAATAATATCGGATAATGATAGTCCAAGGGTCAATTAAATAATAACGAGTATCGACACCGATATACACAAACACAAAGGATTGTTTGTGTTTGTGTATATCGGTATCATTCATGTTAAAAACCCATTTTTAACCTGAAATGATTATCAAATGGCTTTGCATTATATGATTGTGATTGTTTTTTTTTTTTTTATATGTATATAAAGGTGCAAACGCGCTTGCGACTCACCTGACGCTAAAAGACTACCGCCACACATGAACAACTGCAACACCAGGCCAATTGCAGATGTTGTTGCTGGCTTTTTTAAAATGAGTGGTCTCCTTTCTTGAAGGTCCCTAAATCTTTATAAATTTCTCGAAGTTGTAGCAGTAGTAGAAGGAAGCTACTGGTAAATCGCACAGTGGTGGACCGCCAAGCATCCAGATAGCGTGGATGGTATCGCGAATTCTGGCGCAATGTTCGTTAGTGGAATTTGGCGACTGTATAATGTCATTTTACAAAAAATAGAAATAAAAAACAAAAATGTATAAATAAATATTAACTAACCTGTTGCAACTGCTGCCAAGCAAGCAACTTAATCAGCCTTTCATCCAACTTCTTCAATTGTTCCTCCACAGTGGCCAACAATTCTTCTACACCCTCGTCACCCTTCAACTCCAAACGCTCACTCTTGCCTGCCCGCTTTCCCGTAGCCTTCCCTTCAGTGGACACCCGACGTCTTTTCACTTTACTTGTCAGGTACTCAAAATCGGAATCTGAAAGCTCACTCGATGAGTCGCCTTTTTCAATCTGTAAAAGAAAATTTAGTTACAAAAGAATACAGAATATATATAATAGTAGATAATAGTACAAGTACAGAAGAATCACTCTATGATAGCAAACTTGCGAGTTTTAACCTAGTAACAACGTCGCTAATGTTCATAATACGTTCTTCAAAATAGCCTACCGAATATTACGGCGCGCATATTAAATCAAAATGCACCTTACGCCCGCGTGCGAGAATCTGTGTCACTTAGCCGGTTACGCGCCTTTGTTTAGGCCGCTCCTACTCTACAGTTAGGTGTTGTGACAAAACAAATTGAATCCTTTGATATTAGTTGGTAGTAAAATACACCGAGATATTATGCAATGTAATTTGCTGATAATAAGAACATTATTGTTCAATGTGAGGAAGGTACACAGGTAATATACAACATCGAGAAAAATTAAGATTATAACAGCGTGAACGTCTTTCGATTTGCCGACAGTCCTTATGGCAGAATCGCTGGAGGACCTAAGCACTAAGCTTAATGACCTCAATAGTGCCTCCCAACGGATAGGTCTTGATATGAACATGTACAAAACCAAGATCATGTATAACGTCCATGTCACACGTATGCCGGTGGTTATTGGGAGCATTAAGCTCGAAGTTGTTGACGAGTATGTTTACCCGGGACAATTTAGGAAAACAGTCCGACTAGGTAAGTCCAACTTCGACCGAGAGGTCAATCGACGGATTCAACTCTGCTGGGCAGCGTTCAGAAAATTACGGCACATCTTCTTGTCAGGTATACCTCAAAACTTGAAAACGAGACTGTACAACCAGTGCGTGTTGCCAGTGATGACTTATGGAACTGAGACGTGGTGCTTCACTGCTGACCAAACGAGGAAGCTCAAGGTCGCTCAGCGAGCTATGGAGAGGGCTATGCTAGCAGTTTCTCTGCGTGATAAACTTAGAAATGAGGATATCCGCTGTAGAACCAGAGTGACCGACATAGCCCAACGGATTATTAAGCTGAAGTGACAATGGGCCGGCCATATAGTTCGAAGAGCCGACAACCGATGGGGAAAAATGGTTCTCGAGTGGCGACCTCGTACCGGCGGACGAGGTGTGGGGCGTCCCCCCCACTAAATGGAGTGACGAACTGGTGGGAGGTCGATGGATGCAGGTGGCTCGTGACCGTGCTTTGTGGTATTCCTTGGGGTAGGCCTATGTTCAGCAGTGGACTTGTGAAGGGCTGTAATGATGATGATGGCGATGAACGTCTTTGAAACTCCAATAATTTACCTATTTACCATTTTCTGTTTCACATTTTTGCTATTTACAAACATGCAACACGCGACGGCATTTTCTGCCAACTTCCAAAAAGGAGACGATACTCAATTCGACTGTATGTTTTTTTTTATGTGTGTTACCTCATAACTTTTTACTGGGTGAACCTATTTCGATGATTCTTTTTTTATTTGAAAGCTGTTACTTCTCGTGTGGTCCCATATGAATTTGATCAAGGTCAGACCTTGATCAAATTCATATGGGACCACCATGAGTTATTCTTAATAACTTATATTGATGTCGACAGTACAAATTTTTTAATTTTTAATTAGAAATGAAAGAGTGGCAAGGAGAAGTACTGCTATTTTCAATCTCTTTCTTTTATCGACAAGTAATTATTTAACTAATGACCAGTATATGGTGATCTTACATTAGTAGGCAGTCACTAGTAGAAAAATGGTTTAAGGACATTGACATTATACGCGAAAAAATCTAAAACTGCGAAACTGTGGTTGTCTATACAAATAAATAAAATTGAAGTGTCTGTTTGTAATGTCGAAATAACAGCTTTTTACTATATGCATATGAAAGTATATACGGTACTTATAGCAAAAATACGATTTTTAAAATTTTTGTCTGTCTGTGATTCCGTACGTCTGTCTATCTGTCTGTTTGTTCCGGCTAATCTCCGAAACGGCTGGACCGATTTTGATCGGACTTTTACTGGCAGATGGCTGATGTAATAAAAAGTAAATAGGCTACTTTTATTTTAGAAAAAGAATTAGGATTCCGCGCAAAAAATTAAAACCCATGAAATCCAATCGTAATAAATTACGCGCGGGCGAAGTCGCAGGGAACAGCTAGTCAAATAATAAATCTGTAACTGTGGGGTAAGTAACTAGTTACCTAATTATCTAGATCTACCTATAAATAATAATATCTTACCTTTGGATATTCTTAGGAGCAGTAAAGAATGCAAAGTCGAAATTGTTACTGAAGTACCCGTAGGTATACTATGCAGTACTGTGTGCTCGTTTGTCACCCTAATTCAGTTTTGGCTTTTTGAGTGGCCTTACTTGAATAAAAACTCAAAAATAAACATCAAAAGTCCCTATGTAAATACTTATAAGAGAAAAATACTTTTTTGTTAACGCAAGGCGCTTGTCAGCACGATCGCGCGCGTGTGAACTTCACTGAATTAGCTGCTTGTGAGCGGCCACGCAGTGTACTATATTTTCATGCCTAAAGTGCGGAGTGAGATAGTCTTGGTTGTCACAGGCACACACACATAGTGTGTAGAACACAAGCAGTTTTAAAGTCTCCTATAGAATTGCATAATTTATTACAAGTAATACCACTACATCTTCTCGTCGTAGATATACCTCAAAACTTGAAAACAAGATTGTACAACCTGTGCGCGTTGCTGGTGATGACTTATGGATCTGAGACATGGTCTGGTGACCGTATGAGGAAGCTCAATGACGCTAAGTTCATTCGTGCCAGAGCTATAATATAGTTATTATATATTTCTATAGAAACACAAAAACAGAAGAAAACTGTACAGTAGACATTAAGGGGACAATTAGCATACACATTGAAGCTAATATTATATACCTTAGGTTTAGTAATAGCTTCAAGGTCATCAGCAGCATCTTCTTCACTCGCACCTTGCAGCGGACACGGGCCTTCTCCAGAGTACTGCGGGCACGCTGTGTTCATGCAGATTTGGTGCTTGGGTCCATCTTCGTCCTCAGACTCCGTGTACACGCCGCTGGCTTTCAGTTTCTGGAGCACTGCATTTAGGGGAATAAATAATTGGAAATTATGCAACTCAATTTTGATGATATTCAGTTTTTATTGATTTACAGAATGGTATGATTTTATAAATCCGACTTTAAAAGAGAAGGATCTCAAATCGAATGTATGTTCCTTTTTTTCTCTTGTTTTTGTTTAGCAAATTAATGCTTTTGTTTATAATGCAGTACAGCCACCACTGAAGTATAACTTATTTAGTTAATGGTTCAGTGACGGTCATGGTTCAGTGATAAATTTATGGGGAAAATCCACTTCTAAGACTGGAAAAATAAGGGATGAATTTTTTTAATGTAACGATTTAGACGAAATTATTATATTAGTATAACCTATTTAGTATTTACGTTATACTTCAGTAGTGGTCCCATATAAATTTATGAGAAAAAATCCACTCTTAGGAGTGGCAAAATAGGGAATGAAGTTTTTAATGTAAGTATTTAGAAGAAATTCAAGCTATTGGTATTCTTTATTTCACTTAAAGGTAAAATAATTAAGACTTATTAAAAATTAAAAGCTGACTGTTAAAAACTAAAAAAAAATTATTCCCGCATATATGAGTCGTGGCTTTAAGACTTCTGCATCCTGTCTTAGCACCAAATTCTGAAGCTAGTATGCGGATATTACTTTATTATTTTTAGTTCTTTGAAATAAGCTTCTTTTACTTTTTAAATTCTAATAATATTATAGTGTAATCAGTATAAAATTAGATTATTAGATAGAGTGAGAGATAGATAGATAAAGAAAGTTAAAGTAACAGATACGAGAGAGAGAGGTAGGTAAAGCGGATAAGAAAGAGTAAGAGAGATATAAAGTGTTAAGATAGAGGGATAGAGGAAGAGCAAGGGAGAGAGAGAAAGAGAGAGCGGTAGAGTGAGAGTGTGTACCGGCGGTGCAGCGCACGTGGTCGCGGCGGCTGGGCAGCAGCGGCGGCGGGCGGCGGTAGTGCAGCCGCACCATGCCCGGCACCACCACGCGCCCCCGTATTCCCCATGCCTTCAGCCTGCAACAAACACACACGCCCTATATATGTAGTATCTAGTATATGACTATACCACCCATCTACCATACACCACCATAATATTTAGTGAACTTCCCGAGAAATTGTGCAATTGGATCACCAGTTTTCTTGCAGATCGGAGCATTAAGGTCGTAGTAGACGGTGCATACTCCGATTACAAGCCCATTAACGCTGGTGTTCCACAAGGCTGCGTGCTATCACCAATGTTGTTTTTTCTGCATATCAATGATATGTTGCAAACCAGTAACATTCAGTGCTATGCAGACGACAGCACTGGTGATGCTTTATACACCGGGCATGCCAATATTTCTCGGGAAAACGTCGCCGAGTACCGGAACAAACTTGTGTCTGAAGTCGAGACTTTGTTGAACAAAGTCCCAGACTGGGGGCGAGTAAATCTAGTCCAGTTCAATCCCTAGAAGACACAAGTTTGCGCGTTTACCGCTAAAAAGAATCCCTTTGTCGTATCTCCTCAGTTTCAAGGCACTCCCCTTGTTGCCTCAGCCAGTATCGGAATCCTCGGCGTCGACATATCGAGTGACGTGCAGTTTCGTGGTCACTTGGAACAGAAGGCCAAATTGGCCTCTAAAAATCTTGGCGTGCTCAGCAGAGCGGAACAGTATTTCATGCGTGCTCAGCAGAGCGGAACAGTATTTCATGCGTGCACACCGCTTGCAACTTTACAAGGCGCAGGTTTGGTCTCACATGGAATACTGTTCCCATCTCTGGGCAGGGGCTCCCCAATGCCAGCTCCTTCCACTTGACCACATCCAGCGCAGAGCGGTTCGAATCGTCGACGACCGAGTTCTTTCCGATCGGCTTGACTCACTGGCACTGCGTAGAGATGTTGCATCTCTTTGCGTATTTTATCGCATCTACCACGGGGAGTGCTTTGAGGAATTGTTTCGGACTAATTCCAGACGCTCTATTTCACCATCGCACATCGCGACAAAACTCGCGATACCATCCATATGTTCTGGATGATTGGCGGTCCACCACTGTGCGATTTAGAAGAAGTTTTCGGTACGACTTTCCATTGACTCCCATCGAGTTGGGGGTTGATACGTAAATACAAACAACAATTTTAACAAATAATGAGTTACATATTTAAAAACATGAAAGCTTAATAAACATAAAATTATGTTACAATTTAATTGTCATTAAAAGATTTAAAAATAATGGTAGTTTATCAACGACCGATAAAAAATACCTATGTTAATTAATGTTTTTGTGTTTTATAAGATGTAATCAATCCACATAAAATTTACAAGTATTATTTTCTTTCAATTTAATTTGATTATTTTTATGTTGATTTTTCTGGAGTAAAATTATTTATATACGTTTGAATACTGATTTTGATAACTCACTTAAAGGGAACCATAGAGTTATTGTTACGTATTGTATTTTGTCAGCATTAATGAAAAGCCACAACAAAAAGTGGATAAAATTTAACTACGCTCTACATCATACATAATATGCCGACAGATAAAAGTAGTCCATTAATTATGCCAATTTTTCCATCCATTGCTATCAAATAAAATATTTAATTGCAATTATAAAATGCTTGAACTAGGTCATGTCGCGCACCTCCGACACGTGATGACGCGGGTGAAACCGCGGGGCACAGCTAGTTATAAATATTAGTTATCAACCTAAATTTAACTAATGCAATAATAACATCGGCATAAGATATTACTAAAATAACCTAAACGTCATCGTAATCAGATGGTAACCACAACAAAGAACCGGACGAATCAATCAGGACAGGACTATTCCAGAAAGTCTGTAATGATATCACAATGGGTGGACTCCACAGAGGGTAACCCACTGATCAACAATTCACTCAAGGTCCAGATTATGGATCCCCACTGCACCGGTGGTTGAGTCAAGTCCTAAAAAAGACTGCTTGCTTAGCGAGTTTCCGAGTGGTTCACTTCATATGCTTACATTATTAATTAGATTTTTTTATTCTAATAACTTTCTTTGCGTTTTCCCATATTATCTACCTGAAATAGATATTAAAGTAAATTACTATTTTATTAAGTACATTAATTTCTGATAATTACAAAAAAACAATACAAAATAAATAATAAAAAATATAAAGCGAATTACGGAAACCTAACCGTTTCATACTAAAATATATGGACGATTTCTGTTAAAAATGAATGATATTTACGCTTAAATTGTTGCTTTTTGGTTTGAATTAGTAAAAATAATGATTGGTGAATGTGTTGTCTATACTTTTGTCTCACGTTTTAACCAAAAAGGTTTTCTAAAATAATAACGAAATGGCCTAGAGATTTAAAATAGAAAAGGCCGTTTTAAGTGTTTTTACCATTGTTGAAGATTTTTTTTTCTCGAAAATCAAGATGTTTTTTATAAATATCACATGGTGAAAGTCTATTAACTAATTGAGATTTTTTTGTAGTGTCATTCAATGAAGTCAGTTCTTTAATATTTTTAAAACCGTAACTGCCTATTTGCGTGTTTCTTAAGGACCGGCCTTTTAAATCAATTCAGCACATACTGCAAATTTTGTAAATAAGTGTATTTAAAATTTAACATGTGCCTGAAAGGACAGTTATTGATACTACACAACCTTCCAGTCTTAGAAATTATATATGTATAATTATTGCGCGGTAATGTGATAGATGAAGCAGCCTCATTTCTTCTCATCATAGTGGGTCAAGATTTATAACAGACTTAATTTCTGTTATAAATCTTGACCCACATGATATTATTACATATACATTTGATATTTACACAGTAAAATGTCCAGAGTCAAACTTATCGACGTAACGAAAAGAGCAGAACAACGTGTGCCGAGAAAGTTAGTTAAATATATTATATTTCGAGGGCATATGAAAGATCTCCAACAGTTATTAGAGTAATGCGGCTGAAACTTTCCGGCTTAAAAACCCTCTCAAAAAAGAAAGAAGGTGAAAAACACGGGCTAAATTAATATAGTACTGATAAGAATACTAGGTTGTTCGGGGTTGTACCGACACTAAGGGGATGATAATCTGATAACGTTTGATAAGTGTGATAAAATATATTTTGGATAAGTTTAGAAATATAAAAGATTTTAGAAAAATTTACTTCGCAAATATCCGCGTTATAAAATAAAATGATGTGTGGTTTATGATGTCATCTGTTATTTTGCGTAAATATTCTGTAATTGTCATTCTTGTGATATTTTTACTGTTTTCTTTTTTTATTGTTTGTTACCATTATTATTACTTTCTCTTTTGAGTTGTCGGTGCAAAGCGTTTAGTTGAAAAATGGGGTAATCTAAGTGCGAGCGCGAGTGACTCACACAACATGTAATTCCTAAAACTGACCAAAGCCAACGGCGACCAAAAAGTGGCCTCAATGTTGACCTTAACAAAATTTTAAATTACTTAACAATATTTAAAAAATAAAATAAAACAAACTCCACTTTGTGTTTCATATAAGAAAACTTTCATAAATATTCTTAATCAAGTTTCGGGGCCCTGGTTTGCAGGTATACACCTCCTTATAAAACTCATATAATTAACAAAACTGTAGACGTTGCAGATAAGGATCATACAATATTTGAAAATAATATGGCAATCTTGCTTTATTTTTGTAGTTACAAAATCATTGTTATTATTTAATACATTCTCTCATACATATCACTAATTTGAACATAATCAGTAAAAACGAACAATTTTAGCAGCCTAGGATAACTTAGGAACAGTTACATGTTTTACAGGCTATTTTCCGCAACTCCACGTCTAAGCGCATATTTTGTGTGTGTGTCCAAGAATATTATGATTATTCGATTCTTCCCGAAGGAGTTCAACTATGGACTAATATAAAGAACAATAGCAGAAAAATAGTTGACAAAAATTATCGCGTCTAGAAATAAGTTATATATAAAATGAGTTTTATTATTTTTATATGATTTTTGAAATAAAAATGTATTTTAATTACAGCCACAGAAAAAAAAAACATTTTTGGGAATATCAAATGACTTGAATCATTTTACTCTATTCAAGTGCGGCCATTCAGTATATTCAAACTATTTTCGTATACACTTTGTAAGTTATTATTAGTAATAACTATACTATCAGTTATAATAAAAATAAAAGTGATATGGTTGGGAATAAGTCTCTTACAAAGAACTTCCTACAATAATACATTATCTCAATCATAGTACTATGTAACAATTCCATTTAATGTTATGGCAACACTATCTAAAACAAAATGTCACTGTTTTTTTACTGGCTTTACGGCTCTGGGTTCTAGCCCTTCTGAGAATGTCACTATGACACAAAGGCCCTGGAGCCATGCCAGAAATATATACATTTATAGTATGCAAATATATAATAGAGATACAATAATCTAAAACTCTCAATTATGTATTGTGTATTAAGCTAACATCAAACAACCACAGGAAGCATGACTTTATCCAAGTGACATAAGATATAACCTAAAAAGGTTCAAATCTAAATATCTTTTTTTTTTTGACGCCTTCTCAGTACAAAATTCTTTGACAGAGTTATTAAGGGACTGACGCTTAACATTTTAAGATATTTTTCATATATAGACGCTACCATTCCTTCTCAACTAATTTTATGTACGAAAGTCTGCCATTGTTCTTTCAGTACTACTTTATTTTAGCGTCGTTTTTATATTGTATTTTTAAAACTGTTGAAAATGGATATTAACATGATTGCCTTGATGTATTTCGAAGATAACAGTACCTACTTGTACGCATGTACTGACGCTTTCGTCGACTTATCTATTACTTACTTATCTTCTATAATCTATATTAAGGGCTGATTGAGCAATAAGTGTACGTAATATTTCTAATAATAATAAGAACATACGAAATCGAACAGTCGAAATAAAGCTCAATTTACACTGCAGCGGAATGGAAGCGTCAATCTCGACTCGTCGCGCGGGAAGCCGCGCGAATTCACGGGAATGCGCTAGCATTTCCGCGAATTCCAACGAACGCACTCCGCATAGCTTGTACGTTATACAAACAATCATATTTTTGCACGAAAAAGATCAACTTTTCGTCTAAATCCATGTTTTTAGTCACACAGTATGTACACAACCTGTTTCGTAGGCGCTTGACGCCGCACTGCTGCGAGTGCCACTTCCCGGCTTCCAGCGGATTCCACAGACTGCGCCAACAGTAGCTAGGGGAATCCTCGAGAATTCCACGGAAGACGCGCGACTTTTTTTGGCTCATATCTACTTTGAACTTTATACAATTAACATAAAACTCATTTTACTATGTACAATTTCGTTACAAAAATTCGCTACCGTTCCGTTCCGCGGCAGTGTAAATTGGGCCTAAGGATGATATAAAGTGTTACTACCTACCTAGTAATAAAATAAATTTCGATATTACACTAACTTTTTCTTCACAACTCTAATTTTCACCAATTTTTTGAAGTGAAAACTTTCGAGATGAAAGATGGGGAAATAGCTCTGAATTCGCGTGAACGTCACGCTCACATACATATTTAGATATATATACACATCACACCATGAAGCAAATACAAAGAGGAGACGTTGTAATTAAATTTCACTATGTAACAACGCGTGACAATTTGCAGGGTGAGGGGATGCAAAGCCCCGCCCACTTACACTATCTACATCTACTGATAAATAGTAATACTACTCGAATCTTTCCATATCGATGTTGCAATATAGCTTAGCTACCTTGACGGTAGATGGCGGCATGTCCACAAAATGTTATAAACTACAAAAATAATCTTTTGGCGATTAAAATTTCTTTATGTCTGAATGCAAAACAAATTTCAGCACCTTCGTATGATTAGTTTATCATTACTGAGCTCTACGTACCATTATATTTTTAGTTCACAGGACACAAAGTGCCGCCATCTAGTGTGGAATATATTTAATTATATTTGAAAGCCGAAGCGAAGAGATTTTTCTAGAACTATTTTAATAAATTAGATGTAAAATTACTTACAACTGAAATGTGATGCCATCCATAGCATCGGAGCGTCTATCTCATGAAGCAAATACATTCAGACAAAGAAATTTTAATCGCCAAAATAATATTTTTATAGTTTTCATAATAATTTTGGGAACAGGCCGCCATCTATCGTCAAGTAAACCTCATAATAAATAACAAAAAGACAGGGCCGCAATTAGAATTCAATTATTTTACCCTGTAACCCAACATTCAATATTAAAATGAAGGAAATTGTACTTTGCTGATTTTTACGAAATGCTTAAGTTATATTTAAGTGACATTCTATATGCAAAAAATCACTTAAATACAATTTAAATATGTTTATCATTTCGTGAAAGTCAACCTTCAAGAAATATTTATTTTATCCATAAAATAAAGTCTCTTTGAAACTAAATATTCTATGTTCAATATTAAGTAGGATATTTAATTTAGAACTAAATATCCTACTTATCTCACTAATATTATAAAGGCGAAACTTTGTGTGTTCTTTCTGTCTCCTTGAGATTATTCGACACTAAGTATGTGTAATTTTTTCACGCAGAAACGGCTCGACTATTATTTATGTGTGGGTTATACTATTTGATATCTCTGAGGGAGAACAAATAATAGACAAATTATTATAATTAATAAAATTTTATTTACAAATCAATTAAAATATAAATATTTTATTCCAAATTAGGCATCCGAATGCACTTTTTCAATGCCAATCTAAGAACATTAAATTGTATTTAAGTGATTCTTTGCATATAGAATGTCACTTAAATATAACTTAAACATTTCGTAAAAATCAGCCTAAGTACAATTTCCTGCATTTTAATATTAAAAGTTGGATTACTGGGAAAAATAAATGAATTCTAATTAGGGCCCTGTCTTTTTGTCATTTTTATGAGGTTTACTTGACGAGAATACGGCCTGTTCTCAAAATAATAATAAACTATAAAAATAATATTTTGCGATTAAAATTTCTTTATGTCTGAATGCAAAACAAATTTCAGCACCTTCGTATGATTATTTTACCAATACTGAGCTCTACGGACCTTTATATTTTTAGTTCACTTGACACAAAGTGTCGCCATCTAGTGTCGAATATATTTAATTATATTTGAAAGCCGACGCAAAGACATTTTTCTAGAACTATTTTAATAAATTAGGTGTAAAATTATTTACAAATGAAATGTGATGCCATCCATAGCATCGGAGCGTCTATCTGAGAAGTTTTTACACGATAAAATACAACACTTCATCCTTTTCTTCTTAATACTACGAAAATACACCGATTTGCGATTTTTTCAACACATAAGCGCACAGGACGAATGCTGACAGTATACTAACTAAAGCCACGCCCACTATGATGACGTCAGGACCTACTTAGAATCACAGTGCACAGTTGCTTATGCCGTCTCCCCTTTGTATTAGCTTCATGCATCACACACACGCACACGTATATATATATATATATATATATATATATATATATATATATATATATATATATATATATATATATATATATATACATATATATATGTATATATATATACATATATATATGTATATATATATATACACATGTATTATATGTGTAATATATATATGTATATATATATGTATATGTATATGTATATACATATATATATTACACATATAATATATGACTATTATAGAGTACTGCCACAACAATTTTTTTTAAATGAGTACCTTTTAATCCGAAAAATAACATATCAAATATAAAATAATAAAAAATAAAAAATTCATGTGATGAAAAGTCATTGAGTTTAACTCCTATCATACTTCTTAACGCTCTCATCTCAACTGCATTTATTCTGCTTTCATGTTTCTTCTGCCATACCCAACTTTCACTTCCGTACATGAGTGTCGGAACCAACACCTCCTCACGCACAGCCAAACGAGCCTTGTTATGGTGCGTACACATTATATAACATAACATGTAATAAAACGTTGTTATATAACATGTTTCAGTAAAGCGGAGACTGAATGTTATAAAACGTGTTATATAACGTGACACAAATGTTATATAACTCGAACTATATAGTCCTACGACTAATAGTTTATTTGTCTTGTTCCATTTTTACATACGTAGATCACTATTTAAACACATGTAGTGTGTACTCATAGGTAGGTAGATAAGAGAATCAATTTGGTAAATTCTAAGAATTCTATAACTAAATAAATTTCTACTTGAGAATTATATTTGAAACTTTATTCCGTTGAGGCTTTATTATCCATAAAAGGATTGTAATAAGATCACACCATGTAACTTGCAGATAATTCATGTTACTTGAAACCGACCTACATACCAATGGGAACATTATCCATTCTTTGTTAGAATTAAGTATAATATAAGAACTGTAATATTTTTAATAAATCTAGTCTAATATAGTCTTGTTGCAACCGTCATCACGAGTCTTTCATTTACCCAAAGCATTAACGTAACACATACCATCTGATACAGTTAGTAAGAAGTTTAACGATACAAAAGTCAGACTTACCGGAAAGCCGGGCGGGCACGTCTCGCTCGCCTTATGAAATCTATTTTGATGGCATGCTGATCCACCGGAGCTGAGAATTTATCCCATAGCGCTACGCGCTCCGTCATTGAGATCGAGTTCACCAGCTTCCAATCCTGAAATGAAGAGAATGAAATTATAATTACCTATTGATTCATCATCATCATTACAGTACTTCACAAGTCCGCTGTTGATACTGAACCACCTGAATCCATCGACATCCTGCATTTCTTACCAGGTACGCCACTTCAACTAGAGAGGAGCTGCCCTACTTCGCTTACCGGTACGAGGTTGTCGAAAACCTTTCTTCCCCATCGGCTGTCGGTTCTTCGAGCTATATGGCCGGCCTATTATCATTTCAGCTTAGTAATTTGTTGGGCTATGTCGTTTACTTTGTTCTAGCCGTTAAATATTGATGTTCAAAATTAACAACCCTTTCTAAGCGCTAAACAATTTTCGACAATAGACCTATCGTTCTTTAAAAGGAACCAGGCCCAAATTGTACTATACTCTAGGAAATCTACGAAATATCTTTTGACAGCTGTCACATTTATTGGATTAGGCATTCCCACTGAAATATCGGTACCTACAATATTCGATTCTTAAGAGATATCGATTCTTTAGAGTTGGTAACCATTTACAGTTTTATCTAGATTAATACCCACCGCGAATCCCACATGGTAAATTATGAGGCGCCCACCTTTTCTCACAGGCACATCTTATCTGTTTGTCATGCCTAAATTAAAATTTTTTTTTTAGGATTTCTTTGAATTTGCGCCTTCAGAGCTTTTATCACTTCTGGAGTCCTAACAGACCGAGGGCGACCACTTCTTGACCTGTCATCTACACTAGAGTCTTCATTGTATCGTTTGATGGTACGATAAACGAATCTTTTGGTTATATTCAAATTTTTCAGTATGTCAAAAATTTGAATTGGCGCGTAACCGCAACGATGCAACGCAATAACTGCAACACGGTCTTCTTTAAGCGTCCACTCCATATTTAAAAATGAGTAAAATTCTAAAAAGTATAGTTTTATTTTCATGAACAATTCGAAATTCGAATTCAATAAACTTTTTTGTGGCCAGCATTCTAAAAGAAAAGTTTTTACTGTGTGACAATACTTATGACCTGACTAGGTATATATTTCATGGTGCGTGGACATTTTTTTAGTACTCAAAAACAAATTATCTGAAAATAGTGCCGTCTGTTAATACCACAAGTGGTAAATTTAAAATTTTGTACAAACGACTTCAATATGAATATAATTTGTTGATTTTTTAAAAACCCCTCGACCGATTTCGATAACATTTAAATGGGACCTGGGAAGTATACCTTTGAAACAAAAAAAAATTCCAAATCGGTACAGGCGTCTCTGAGTAATCGGTGAACATATATTTAAAAAAAAGATTACGACGAATTGAGAACCTTCTCCTTTTTTGAAGTCATTTGAAAATAGACTTCTGAGATTCTGAATCAATCACTTATTTCTATTGCCTGCACGGCACATTTCCTTAGGGATACTTTGGAATGTTCACGTTAATAGATACTCGAAGTCATAATACAGTTGTAGAATAGAATAGAATAAATTTTTATTCAATATACATTACATTACATGTGTAATTCTTATTGAAAGTAATTTTTTGCTTTACCACTGGTTCGAGAAAAAAAACCTATGTCCTGGGAAGAACCAGCAAGAAACCCAGCGGGACTTTTTTTTTAAATAAATTTTACAATATAAATGATTACGAACTATTTACAAAATTTATTTTAGAAACTGGTTGGAAGCGACCACCTCATTCCCAGGGGTTATTATCAACCATGTATTCATTTATACTATAATAACCCTTTTTATACAGTTTCAGTTTAATAAAACATTTAAATTTGGTAATTGAGAGAACCTGTACACTTTCCGGGACCTTGTTGTAATAGCATGTTGTAACATTGCCCCAAGAATGAATTACTGACTCTGTAGAGTCGAGAAACTGGCATCACTAGCTTGTGTTTGTTCCTAGTGTTTACAGAATGTATATCACTTTTTTAACTAAAACTATCTTTGTTTTTGTGAACATACATTAAATTTTCGTAAATATACTGAGAGACCAAGGTTAACATATTTATTTCTTTAAATTTATCTCTAAGAGACTCTCTCGGTTTTAGATTGTAAATAGCTCTAATGGCCCTCTTCTGTAAAACAAAAATAGTTTCTGAATCACCCGCATTTTACCATAGCAAAATCCCATAAGACATTATGCTATGGAAATAACTAAAATAAACTAATCTAGCTGTCTCGACACTAGTGAGACCTCTAATCTTTTTTACAGCATAGGCTGCAAAACTTAGTCTGCTTGCTAATTTGGATATATGGGGGCCCCACTGAAGCTTTGCGTCAAGAGTGATGCCAAGAAAAACAGTGGATACCACAGGGCTCAATTCCTCCCCATTTAAAAACACGTTGGTATTCAGATTTTTAACATTCGTTGTTGTATATTTAACACAATTAGTTTTATTTCCGTTCAAAAGCAGATTATTAAACCAGAAGTGTGTATGGACATCCTTCTCCTATGGACATCTTACCTCACAGGATTTGAAAATATTTAATCTTCAAACAAAAAGGTTTTTATTAACCTAAATACATAAGATCACTTACAATGTACTTTTCAACGTGGTTGGGACACATCCAACGGCCAGTTGGTAGGGCGGTGAGTGGCGGATCCAGACAATCCTACAAAAAGAAAAGGTTGAAAGTAATAAAAATCCTAATAACACACGAATAATGCCTAGGTGCAAGTATTTGTATGCAAGCGATGCTTGTAAAATGAAAATAGAAATTGCTAGTGTGGGGACACATTTTTAGATAAATAGTTAAATAAAAAACTACTATATACGGATTTTGTCGAGTTTAATTTAACTCGTTTATAACTCTCGTAAAACCCTCTTTACAGCAGGTTGTGTGTGTGTGTGTGTTTGTGTGCGTGTGCGTGTGCGTGTGCGTGTGCGTGTGCGTGTGTGTGTGTGTGTGTGGGTGTGTGTGTGTGCGTGTGCGTGCGTGTGTGTGTGTGTGTGTGTGTGTGTGTGTGCGTGTGTGTTTGTGTGTGCGTGCGTGTGCTTATGTGCGTATGTGTGAGCAGACGTGGGCACCTGGTGGAACAGCAGCGGGCAGTAGTCGCACTGCAGCAGCGGTGCCGCCTTGCAGGTGGCGCGGCACACGTAGCACGACTTGGCCGGCAGCGGCACGCAGCCCCACGCGTCCACGGTCACCACTGATGGCCCACCGTTCTTGCTGCCCTCTGAGAATATCATGCCACAATCATCATCTTCATCATTACAGCACATCATTACTCATTGTAAATGTAATTTGTCATTTATTTTTAGAAATTTTTGAAGAAACGCGAGACAACTTTCTAAAATCGAAAAATAAATGATCAATTTTTTTTATTATTTGTAGTGATAAACGAATTTACAGTCCATGTGATGGTAAATGGCTACTGCAGCCTATGGATATCTGCAAACAACTTCAAATAAAAAAAGCTAAAGATGTTCTCCAAGAAATACAATGGAATGCTTCACAGCCTATAACTATACAGTCTCTATACACTTCAGACCCCTGCTATTTAATGGTAGAAATAAGTTAGAGAGTGGGTGTTACCTACTAAGATAGATTCTTAAGCAGAAAATCCTACCACAGAAATCAAAAGTTTTACTTGGTAGTAAGTATATATGACGGCACCAGCACCATTGCACATGCGGCGCCGTTGGTGTAGCTAGAGAAAATTCTTATAATAACACGTGTTCCGCACACCTGCACCATTACACCTGCGGTGGCGCCCGTTTTGCTTGTATAAAACGGACGGAGCGGCCGCCGTTAAGGCAGTCTTGGCTCTGACGTGGAACGGTGCGCTTGTCGTATTCCGTTACTAGTTTATCCTTGACTCGTTGGATATTTAATTCGTATAAACGAATTAATTATTATTCCTAACTACAAAATTAGTCTCTGTACTATACCCACTATACTTCCTACATCAGAAGTGGGATAAAGTCCCCATTTTTGCCCACATATAATCTTCGAATATTATGAGAATTATTACATTTGTAAAGGCTATAATGCATTTCGCATTGATGGATCTCTTTTTTGTTAAATACCGTAATGAAATTTGCTGTCCTACTTACGATATTGTCGTATCATTAAAGTGTAGAGAAAAGACAAAGTGAAATTATTTAAGCAACATTTTTTTAATTTGTTCGATTTGTATTAAAAGTACCCGCAAGTATTTTCATTATTTCTTGACGTACCTAAATATGTTAACAAATGTCAAAAGAAAGGCTTTCTAATTAACCTGTATCAAGTTTTGTTGTAATTTGATAGTTCACGCGAAACATGATTATCATTTGCTATATTTTGAAGTTCAAAACGTTTAAGGGTTTTATTACAATAAAGGATTAACTTTAACATGCTATGGATTGATAATAATAAGTGACACTTTTGTGTTCTAATGTGTTGATCAGTGTTGCAGTTTGCTCCGAATATTGTGTCGTTGACAAGATTGAGGTTTGATGTCGAGGGATTCGTAGAAGTCTCTACAACAATGATCAATGAGGAAGACGTTGTGATGACTAATCGAACGGTCAGGTACGGCCGAGCGTTGGTTAGATTGAGCCTACACCGCTACAGTCGGTTACTTATCGGCTGATCTTACGGCAGGGCAATTCAAGCGGCCGCCGAACAAATGGTGCTTTGGCGCTGTAAATGAACGGCTTTCGTAGATTTGCGCAGTTGCCTCCTTCGCTTCGAAATATGTTGTGGTATCTGTCTCTACACATGGTTTCCATTTTTTTTTGCAATGTTTTCAAATGTCATACAGTTGCCGTTTCTTAAGAGAATATGTGATGAATTTTGGAAGCTCGGAATTCCATGGTTTGCAATACATTTATCTCGATTTCTTTTAATTTTGAAAAGCAGTGCGACGATTCGATAGCGCTAGTACGGCGCGACGGCTTACTGGCGCGAATGTGGCACGAACGCAGCAGAACGAAAAGCTGTAGTGCGTTTGCCTGGAGGTAGCCATATCGACGCGTTCCAGACTTAAATGACGTCTAGGATGGTTGACCGTTGTAATATTTATCAAGAGTTAATATCTGTTAGCAGGTGGTGATAACTGATAGACCGTATGCTGTTCACTGTCAACCGCACGAGGACGTGCGACAGTCAGAGGTAGCCGTGTCTGTGCATCTAGAAAATACTAGAGACTTTGCAACACTCTAGCGAAGTAATTATTCTGCAGAGAAGGAACATGAAGTTGCAGGGAGGCTGGTCTGTGCTGCACTGGGATATGTGTCTAGTTGCTGTTGGTTTACATACTTAGGTGTTATCGTATCACTACGTCCCTCACGATACACTTTTGTGTGATTGTGACGGGGACATGTTTGCGGTATGGTTGGTCTGTAACTGTTCTATACTGAATTGAAAAAAAAGAGAGTAAGAAAAAAAATTTGGTTCTTACTATCATTGCAGGGCGTTTGCCGGTCCAATGATATAGCTACAGGGAATAGTGATTCCGGACTAGCATAAATATTACTTGAAAAAAAAGCGTAAGAAAAAAAATAGTTCTTACTATCATTGCAGGGCTTTGCGCCGGTCCAATGATATGGCTAAAGGGAATAGTTATTCCGGACTAGCGAAAACAGTACTTGAAAAAAAAAAGAGAAAATAGAAAAAGCTACAGACTAATCATTCCGATCTAGCATAAATTTGATTAAAGTTTTGTAGGGCTTGCTGCCGGAACAAAACTGATTGTCACCCAAGTCTGAAGGGTCAATATAGACCGGACCAGACGCTGTTATGTCAGGATAGTCAAAAGATGTTTTTTTTGTCTACAGATAACTAAAATTGTGATGGAGCGCGTGCGAGGACGCACGCATGTCAGTATGGCCGTGACGGCACCAGCACCATTGCACATGCGGCGCCGTTGGTGTAGCTAGAGAAAATTCTTATAATAACACGTGTTCCGCACACCTGCACCATTACACCTGCGGTGGCGCCCGTTTTGCTTGTATAAAACGGGCGGAGCGGCCGCCGTTAAGGCAGTCTTGGCTCTGACGTGGAACGGTGCGCTTGTCGTATTCCGTTACTAGTTTATCCTTGACTCGTTGGATATTTAATTCGTATAAACGAATTAATTATTATTCCTAACTACAAAATTAGTCTCTGTACTATACCCACTATACTTCCTACATATATATAAATTCAACAATTTTCAATCAAGAATTGGAAGGCTAACCAACATAGAATGAATTGTTATGAATAAAGTTACATTGGAATTCAGATAAACTAAATTTAAAATTACCTTTTTCTGTTCCAGGAAAAATGCAAGGAATTCTCATCTCACGCGGTAGCTCAAACTGTTTGGGATTCATAACCTTAGCTGCTTTCACCAGAATTTCCATTGGTGTGAGTTCTTTCTTCTCTTCTTCTTCCTCTGGTTCCTTACTGCCTTCATTGTTCTTCTTTTTAGTTAATGAATTGGCCCTACTATTCCGAAGAGACCTATAAAAAATTTAATTTTAATCTAATAGTTGTTTATTCTTAATATCTAAGTTCTAATCTATTTTTTTTTTTTGAAGAAATAAAAATATTACATTTTATAAATTTTTTTAATTTTATTCATACTTGCATCTTCTTTTTCTTCACCAGCCTGTAAAAGTGTACACCTGGACATCATCATTATCATCATCATTACAGCCTTTCATAAGTCCACTGCTGGACATAGGCCTCCCCCAAGGAAAGCCACAAAGCACGGTCCTGAGCCACCTGCATCCATCGAATTCCTGCATGTCTAACCAGGTCGTCACTCCATCTCGTGAGGGGTCACCCTACACTTCGCCTACCGGTACGAGGCTGCCACTCGAGAACCTTTCTTCCCTATCGGTTGTCGGTTCTTCGAGCTATATGGCCGGCCCATTGCCACTTCAGCTTACTAATACGTTGGGCTATGTCGGTTACTCTGGTTCTACTGCGGATATCCTCATTCCTAAGTTTATCACGCAGAGAAACTCCGAGCATAGCCTCCTCCATAGCTAGCTGAGCGACCTTGAGCTTCCTCATACGGCCAGCAGTGAAGGACCACGTCTCAGTTGCGTAAGTCAACACTGGCAATACGCACTGGTTGTACAATTTCGTTTTAAGGTTTTGAGGTATGTCTGACGAGAAGATGTGTCGTAACTTCCCGAACGCTGCCCAGCCTAGTTGAATCCGTCGATTGACCTCTCGGTCGAAGTTGGACTTACCTAGTCGGACTATTTGTCCCAGGTAAACATACTCGTCAACAACTTCGAGCTTAGTGCTCCCAACAACTACCGGCTTAGGTGTGACATGGACATTAAACATAATCTTTGTTTTGTCCATGTTCATCTTAAAACCTATCCGTTGGGAGACACTATTGAGGTCATTGAACATAGTGCGTAGGTCCTCCAGCGATTCTGCCATAAGAACTATATAGTCGGCAAATCGAAGGTGAGTGATGTACTCGCCATTGATGTTAATACCGTATCCTTTCCAGTCCAGAAGCTTGAAAACGTCTTCCAATGCAGCGGTGAAGAGTTTCGGGGATATAACGTCACCCTGTCTTACACCTCTCTGCAATTGGATAGGTTTCGTACTCTGGTTCTGTACTCGGATAGCCATCTTAGCTCTACTGTACAAGCACTTCAGCACTTCGATATCTTGTCGAAGTCAACTTGGCACCGCTGAAGGGACTGCAGCACCGCCCAAATTTCGACGGAATCAAAGGCTTTCTCATAGTCCACATACGCCAGGCATAGTGGCAAATTGTACTCATCGGACTTCTGTACAACTTGCCGAAGGGTATATATGTGGTCTATGGTGCTAAAGCCCTTTCCGAAACCGGCTTGTTCGGGAGGCTGGAAGTCGTCAAGTCTGCGTGCGAGACGATTCGTAATGACTCTCGAAAACAGCACGTAGACGCGGCTCAGAAGGGAATTCGGTCTGTAGATCTTGAAGAGAGCATTGTCACCTTTCTTGAAAAACAAGACCACCGCACCTCTGCTCCACGCCTCCGGTGTAATGCCACCACGGAGGACGAAATTAAAGAGCCTCTGAAGGACTTCCAGTACCGGTTTTCCACCCGCTTTCAGAAGCTCCGCTGTAATTCCATCCTCGCCTGGGGCCTTGCCGTTTTTAAGATGCTGGAGAGCCATTCTAATCTCGCTCAGACTGATGTCCGGGATATCTTCGGAATAGTGTCGGATAAGACTCGCTCTTGGATCTAGAGATATCCTCATACATTTCCTCCACCTCCTCATCGGGGTGTGCCGAGGTTGGTGTGTAAACCTGTATGACCTTCAGCGAATACCGTTTGGTGATTCTGAGTATAAGGTACGCAACCCTCGTCGACACACTCCCGATCTTTACAACGTTGTTAACGAGAGACTCGTTGACGATAAATCCGACACCTCCTTGGGACAGATGGTCGCCCTCCCGGTGATAGAGCAAGTTGCCGGATTCGAGGATTACCGTGTCCTCCCCCTCTCTTCGGACTTCGGATAATCCTATAATATGCCAGCGCAACTTGTCTATCTCTTTTTCCAGCTCCACGATCTTCTCGTCAGTCCTTAGGGTGCGTGCGTTGTACGTTGCCAGGTCGAGGCGTCTAAGGTGGCAACCGAACCTCCACCGGATATTCTTAGCACCCCCTGCCCCGTCGTTACCATGGTCGCCACCGTAGCCAGGAATAGCGGGGCCGCCGGGGACTGGGGGCCGTCTGTTTGTTGCTCTAATGATTGGGGGGTATTTGCCATAGTTGCCACACTTGGCGAGCGGGTTGGCAACCGCAGTTTTTTTTATTGTAATTTTGGCTATTATCAGGAACATGCTGCTGCCCATCTCCTACCTGTTTCCCTTTTACACCTGGACATAGACCTCCTCAATTGAATTTGGCTTTATCATCACAGTTTGCAGGCAAATAGAGAACTTGCATTTTTTTGGCACAGATTTATATATAAATGAAAGAATAATTCATTTAAAGTATCATCATCATTACATCATTACAGCCCTACACAAGTCCACTGCTGAACATAGGCCTCCCCCAAGGAATGCCACAAAACACGGTCCTGAGCCACCTACATCCATCGACTTCCTGCATGTCTTACCATCGTCACTCCATCTAGTGGGGGGGGGGGGGGGACGCAATATACTTCGTCCGCCGGTACGAGGCCGCCACTCGAGAACCTTTTTTCCCCATCGGTTGTCGGTTCTTCGAGCTATATGGCCGGCCCACTGCCACATCAGCTTACTAATACGTTGGGCTATGTCGGTTACTCTGGTTCTACTGCGGATATCCTCATTCCTAAGTTTATCACGCAGAGAAACTCCGAGCATAGCCCTTTCCATAGCTCGCTGAGCGACCTTGAGCTTCCACATACGGCCAGCAGTGTAGGACAACGTCTCAGTTCCGTAAGTCAACAGTCAACTTGGCACCGCTGAAGGGACTGTAGCAAATTTCAATGGAATCAAAGGCTTTCTCATAGTCCACATACACAAGGCAAAGTGGCAGATTGTACTCTTCTGTCTTCTGTACAATTTTCCGAAAGATATGGTCAACCAGGTCCACTTCCTGTTCGCTGTCGCTTCTCGAAGAAAGAGTTCCATCATAAAGAGTCCCTCTTTCTCCATGAAGTCGGCCAGCTGTTGGCCCCTTGGGTTCCGTTGCCCTATTCCAAATTTCCCAACCTTAAGCTCACCGTTATCTCTTGTGTCTCTCCTAGTTTTGCGTTGAAGTCTCCCTTTAACTCCGCATAGTGGGTTTTGGAGGAATGCATGGCTCTAGAGATATCCTCATACATTTCCTCCACCTCCTCATCGAGGTGTGCCAAGGTTGGTGCGTAAACCTGTATGACCTTCAGCGAATATCGTTTGGTGATTCTGAGTATAAGGTACACAACCTTCGTCGACATACTCCCAATCTTTGCAACGTTGTTAACAAGAGACTTGTGGACGATAAATCCGACACCTCCTTGGGACAGATGGTCGCCCTCCCGGTGATAGAACAAGTTGAAGGTCGAGGATTATCGTGTCCTCCCCCTTTCTTCGGACTTCTTCTAAAAAGCTTGGCGTGCTCAGCAGAGCGGGATAGTATTTCATGCCGGCACACCGCCTGCAATTTTACAAGGCGCAGGTTCGGCCTCACATCGAATACTGTTCTCATCTCTGGGCAGGGGCTCCCCAGTGCCAGCTCCTTCCACTTGACCGCATCCAGCGCAGAGCGGCTCGAATTGTCGACGACCGAGTCCTTTCCGATCGGCTCGATTTATTGGCACTGCGAAGAGATGTTGAATCCCTTTGCATTTTCTTTCGCATCTACCACGGGGAGTGCTCTTAGGAATTGTTCGGATTAATCCCAGCCCGAGTTGTTGGAAAAACAATATCCTTAAATTTGTGAAGAAAAAATTTAAAATCATAATATTTTGATTATTATATATTATAATGTGACAAAATTATAATTATTAAGGATGTAATTATGCAAATAGCAGTAAATGTTTTTGTTTCTTAGGTTTTACTAGTAGGAGTAGTTGTTACAAAACGTAACCAGTTATTGAAACTATCTATTCATACAATAGTGGGTAGTGGGTTATTGTAGTCCAACGAAACTATCTATTAAAGTAGACGTTTTACTCAGTAATACGATGCACGTTTCATGAATGAGCGATCAGAATGAAATGTAACTAATCGTTTATTCGGCTATTTCCGCGACGCATCGGCAATGGCTTCGACTGTTAAAGTACCCCCGGCCATCGAATGTCCAGTGAGCGCGAGTGATACGTTTTGTCTCTTTCATACCCACCTACACATACATTGCTTTTGAATTTGATTTATCTTCGGATAAATGTGATATTAGAAAAGGACAAGTAAGTGTGCATGTTATTTTTAAATAAGAAATATTTTCGAATTGCTTGAATTTGCGTGGCCATGACCCAGCCTAAATTAGTCTCGTTTTGATGACATGGTTTGTTTTTTATTGCTTATATAGTTTTTTACCAATACCAATTTGTAGTAAGATAAGAGAATGCAATTATATATATTGTTATTTTATTTTAATTAACTTTTCACCAGCCAATCGTAAGCCTGGATAAATTATAAAGGAACTTTCATTGTAATATACATATCTCTTCTTAACACTAAAATCTCGATAAAAGTAATCTTAACCAAATGGGAACACCAAACAATCAAGCTTTCTTGTGAAACGTTTAATTTGCCATGTTTATAAACATGTAGTGAAACACTCTATTGAAGCCGCTATTAAAATAGAGTGGTTCAAAAGCCGCTATTAAAATGGAGTGTTTCAAAAGCTGCTATTGATATTTGATAGATAGTTTCAATTCGTTACTCAAACAAGCCACTACTACCCACCGCTACTTACTAGTATTTTTTTAGTTAATTATATATGCAATGTCTGTATTTTTTTGTAATTATAATTTATGGTGTACTTAGTAACACTTAATATTTTTAAAATTCAATAATTTTGTAGTTCAATCTCATTAGAAATCTAAGGTTTTCTAATGAGATTGAACAAGCCACAGATCAGAATAGTAACAAGTGTTGTCACAGGACATGGCTCCTTTAATGAAAATTTATTTACCATAGGTGTTACAGATAGTCCCCTGTGCAGGGAATGTATGGGGGAGGAAGAAACGGTGGTCTACAAGTTGCCGACATGTCCAGAGGTCGCTCATACAGGGCTAAACATCTCGGCACGCTGGGATCACTCCCCGAAGTTGCTCACAATATCAAAGGACTGTTAAACTTCTTTGGGGAGATTTCATGGCTCGAATAATTGCATTATTCCTCCCCACATGCAAAATACGCGCTTAGAAGTGGAGTTTCAGAAAACAGTCCATCATTATCTATCTACTTGAATTTGAAATCTTAAGGTTATCTATAGAGTACCTATAAAGAAAAGGGAAAGATTAATCGATAATAGGAAATTCTAGAAAGTCTTTCGGCCTGTTATTATTCCTGATTATTGTCAAATATTTCAGTATCACCATATTGTACTTATTATGCCAGTTATATAATACCCATTGAGTATTAGAAAATTTAAAAAAAGTAGAGCCTACTCTATATTACCCTGGGCGTGCCACTGGTAATTACCTTGACTTCTTTTCGGTGTCAGACTTATCAGCAGGTGATTGTGCACGGGAGCCACGCGAAGAGGACTGTCGCTCATCTGCAGCACGACATTCTCGGCACAACCACAGCCCTGCTGGGATATCACTCTCATCCAAAGGTGGATCACTGTAAATATAAACATACCAAAAACATAATATGAATAGAATTTTAAAAGCAACTCTTTATAGTAAAACTGCAATGTTTTACATTATAAAGTCTTAAGCAATTAAATGTATTTGAACAATAACTGAAGAATAAACTAAATAGACAAACATGTTACCAAGTGGTGAGAGTACCTTAAGTATTGCAAGCCCTGGGTTTGAATGTCATAGTTTCCAAGTTATAAAAATTATAATCAGTAATACAAAAATGATTGTCTAGTGGTAATAAGTACAACTGCTAATCATTGGATCCCGGTTTTGAATCTTGGGTCTGGCAAAATTAGTTGTTAGATTTTTCTGCCAAGAAATTTTTAGTCCAGCCCAGTCAGCCTCAGAAAGCATGTAAAAAGCCTTTGGTCCTGCACCTGATCTCTTTTTGGCCATGTCAGAGTGATGTTCTATTAAACTATGTGGGTGAGTGAATAGAGGGTGCATACACTTAGATACTATAATCCTGTCTGCTAGTCTCAAAGAAGACTAAAAATTGGTCTGGGGTTCATTAAAGGAAAATACATTTTTTTTTACCAATGTGAAGCTAATTGAAAAAATGTATTAATGAAATTATTTTCAGACTAGATTTTATTACATATATTGTTTTAAATTAATTGTTATTTAATTGTTTAGTCCAATCCCATTACAAAATATGAGCAACTGTAGAAGTCCTCGGGAGATTAAGATATAAAACAATCAGTGATATTAGACTGATGTTATATTAATTAAAATTATAAGTATGTGAGAACTCTTACACCACCATTACATGGCAAAAGATATTAACCAATATATATTAACATAATATGTTCTAAGATAAAGCAGTATATCCAACTCTAAGCAAAACAAATCATTCAATAATCATGTACCACCATCTGGTATGATTACTGATTCCCTTCCATAATTGTAGATAACAAAGTAAGAAACAGATTAACCTATACATAAATGTTAAAGTATATAGATGCAATATCTGTTATTCAAATCTGACATCCAAACTTACTAGCATCCAAGATGGAAGCTGGCAGGGCAACGGTCGCAACAAATTAAATCTCCACCCTCACTGCACGCATCACAGGAATCATGGTTATGTCCTTTACCAGGCCTTTTGTAATATGGATGTTGAGGCTTTTTTGGTTTTTGTGCGTTCAAATCTTCATCGGGCGGTTTTATAAGAGCACGAATGAGCTGAAATTAAGGCATATTTCCTTAAATAACAGGCAATAAACGGGAACTAAACAATATGCAAGCAATAAAAATGGTTAGCTATTAGCTATTCTTACGATAACTTTTCGAGATTATAAGTACTTACAGGCATTAAGCCACCCGAAGTATCAAGATCGTAACCCACGTTAGACATTATTACGAAATTATACACTAAAAAGTTCTCAGTAGAAGATATTTGAGAATAGAATAATACAACTAAGTATCAAACGATTTTGACGAAACAATCACTGAAAGTAGCATTCAGGTATTCATTATCGCTTCAAACAATATGAGCTTGTCAGATAGATAAATAAATATGTAGCAATTTAGCTTGTCACAGTAAATAACTGAAATATTGCAAAATATTGAAGCTATAAAATTTTGCTCCGATACCAAAATCCAAAATACTTTTACTAAACATTTATTTTCTGTCATTATAATAAGGCTGGCTTTTCACTATGGGATACACAAATTATAAAGTTGTAGATATAATATGTTATATCCCGAAATATAAATTATATCCCGCTATTGGCTTTCACACTGTGAGATATATCTTTTAACCAGTGTGCGTTCGTCATTAGAATAGAATAGAATATTTTTTTATTCAATATTGATTATTACATAATGCTTATTGAAAGTCATTTTTTATGTACCACTGGTTCGGAAAATACCTTTGTCCTGGGAAGAACCAGCAAGAAAAGCAGCGAGACTTTTTTTTCAAACATATTTCACATTGACAATAATTTCGTTTATACAATTTTCAAATGATTTTTTATAGAACCAGCATGGTGGCGATCACCTTATTCCTAGGGGTTATTATCATTAATGTATTCCTTGATATTATAATAACCCTTTTTTTACAGTTTTTCTTTAATAAAACTTTTAAACTTGTTTATTGACAAACTTTGAATATGTTCTGGGATTTTGTTGTAAAAGCGTATACTTTGCCCCATAAATGAATTACTGATTCTGTGGAGTCTAGTAACTGGCATTACAAGCTTATGTTTGTTCCTAGTGTTTAAAGTATGCACATCCTTATTCTTATTAAAGCTATTTATGTTTTTATGTACATACATTGCATTTTCATAAATATATTGCAATGCCAAAGTTAATATGTTTATTTCTTTAAATTTTTGTCTAAGGGACTCTTTACAATTTAGGTTATAAATTGCCCGAACGGCTCTCTTTTGTAAAACAAGTATAGCTTCAATATCAGTCGCATTACCCCATAGCAAAATTCCATAAGACATTACGCTATGAAAATAACTAAAATACACTTATCCAGCTGTCTCAACATCTGTGAGACTTCTAATCTTTCTTACAGCATATGCTGCAGAACTAAGTCTGCTTGCTAATTTAGATATATGTTTTGAAGTTTCGCGTCAATAGCAATACCGAGAAAAACAGTGGTATCCACAAGACTCAATTCCTCCCCATTTAACAGCACATTGGTATTCGAATGTTTTACATTAGGTATTGTAAATTTAATACACTTTGGTCATTGAATTACCCCCCCTTTACCCTGTACACCGTTCTACGGGTGCGCGGAACGGTGTGCGGGGTACAGGGGGCGAAATATAATATGAAAATATCGCTCGGTCGATCGAAAAAATATTTATAGCTTGAGATGTAATATATATTATAGCTCAGTGTAAACGGTTCCATATGAAATGTATGGTGAGCGATATTAATTTATATACATATACATACATAAACACTCACGCCTGTCACCCAGAGGGGTAGGCAGAGATTATGGACTTCCATTTGGCACGATCCTGACACACCTCTCTCGCTTCCTCCACATCCGTATACCTACGCATACATGCTCGTCGGTTAAAGGTACTCTTGATTTAGCCCATTTTTAATATATCGCCAATTTGGTCGATAAACTTTCGCCTAGGGCGACCCTTACCGACTATGCCGTTCACCTCTGCAACATAAATTTGCTTTGTCACTCTTTCCTCATTCATTCTTTCTACATGGCCAAACCACCGAAGCATTCCTTTCTTAATCCTGGTCACAACATCATCTTGCAAACCACACTTCTCTTATTAAACAATTTCTCACTCTGTCATTCAGCTTCATCCCTAACATACTCCTTAATGACCTCATTTCTACAGCATTTATTCTACTCTCATGCTTCTTCTGCCACACCCAACTTTCACTACCATACATTAAAGTAGGTACTAACACAGCATTGTGAATTGCCATACGTGCCTTTTTGGACACATTCTGACTTTTCACAATAGAGTGTAGAGCCCCATTCACTCTATTTCCTGCATTCACTCGTCGTTCTATATCCTTATCATATCTACCATCCCTGCTAAACACACATCCCAAATATACAAACTCATCTACTTGCTCTACCAACTCCCCTTCTATTCTTATTTCACATATCGTTTTACTTTCTTCTCTTTCAAAAACCATAACTTTCGTCTTACTTGCGTTCATCATTTATATCTATAGATTAATATATTTATATCTAGAGATGTAATATAGGTATATTATATTATATCCTATAGTGAAAAGCGGGCTTTAGAATTGGCAAGTGGCAACCAGAAACTACCATAGATTACTGTCAATTACAGTATATAGTGCCATCAACTTATCTGTTCAGCAGGGCTATTCACAATCGTCTCGGAAAGCGAAATCGACTCGGATTCGATAACTTCTCGCACCGAGACCAATAAACGCTATTCACATTTAACGTTCGGATAAAGGTCACTTAGATACATCTCATAACTATTGTATCGTCATTTAGTTACATGCATTTACGAATTTTGTAGATAAATAGGCTTTTGTATTTTTTTTATTGTAACGCCTGAACAAAAACATAATGCAATATTTTGGAGTTAGCGATTGATATCGAATATAAAAAATATATAATTTAACTATATAATAAATAACAAAAAACTGAGATATGTCTCGTTTCTGTCGGGTCTGGGTTTTTTTCTATGGAGCGTGACGGTACTTCTTTGACGTTTGTTTTCGATAATTGTGACAGTTAGCATCGGAAACTTTACGAGAGCTCTGAGGCTGGCGAAAACTTTTCGAATATTGATGATTAGAAGAGATAAATAAACCCTAAACCCGAGAAAAATAATTATAAGGTAGGTAACAAATATTAATTACAATTATCTATAAGACGTATTTTCATATAATTACTTCAATATTTGCACTTAATAAAAAAAATTAAATTTTTGTGAAAGGTGTGTTTTTATAAGTTTTCTATCACAAAGCAGCATATATATATATATATATATATATATATATATATATATATATATGCTGTATATATGCTGCTTTGTGAAACGAGACATATCTCAGTATTTTTGTGATTTATTATATTGTTAAATTATATATTTTTTATATTCGATATCAATGGCTAACACTAAAATATTGCATTATGTTTTTGTTTAGGCGCTACTCTAAAAAAATACAAAAGCCTATTTATCTACAAAATTCGTAAATGCATGTAACTAAATGACGATACAATAGTTATGGGATGTATCTAAGTGACCTTTATCCGAACGTTAAATGTGAATAGCGTTTATTGGTTTCGGTGCGAGAAGTTATCGAATCCGAGTCGAATTCGCTTTCCGAGACGATTGTGAATAGCCCGGCAGGTGGACAAAATTGGAACTAAGGCCGCCATTTTGTAAATGACATTTCGCTGTCAGTTATTATTTATTTTGAGTATGGAGCAAAGAGAATATAACCACTATGTTTAGTATGGAGTGTAGAGTAGAAAGAGAACCATCTTATAAGCTGCGAAAGTTGAAAAAGTGTCCCACTGTATACTGAAAATAGAGGTTCCAAAACCTACCACAATAGCGCTGGCGTCTGAAAAACTACGATATGAAGATAGCTTTTGTAGACGAAGTGAAGTCAGCTGAATTCAAATATTTAAAAAAAAATTATGACTATAGTACTTACTTATCTTCACGCACAATCCCTGACGGGGTAGCCAGAGAGAACAGATCGCCAAGTGTCACGATCCTTACAAACCTCTTTCGCTTCTATATGACTATAGTAGTTAGTAAAATGTCAGTATACAAAAACTCAACTATTTACGTAGTACAAAACCGAACGGATTGGTTAGTCCTTAATAGAATCAGGCGTTACTTTGCGGAAATCCATTATATAAATGCTGCATGCTGAATATTCTATAAGACTAAAAACTTCAAAAGATGTTTTAAATATTCGGCCGCAAAAATATGGAATGATTTGCCGCCACTCTTAAAAGAAAATTTTAATATTACATTTGCAACATTTAAAAAAAAGGTTAAAAAAGAGTTATTACATAAACAGAAGTCTTTTTAGGCCGAATGGCTGTATGTTTATTCTGTAATAAAGTATTTTATCTAACACATATTGTCTGTAAAGAGTTTTACCAACAATACATAAATAAGTGCGTGCGACCAAAATATACCCAAAACAGCAGGGACTGGCTGAAAAACAGTGCGGAGCATAATGCCCAGCCAATACTAAGCCTGTGCCCGTTGCCTCACATTTTAATCGTATACTGAGTAATATTAGTTGTTTAGGCAATAATATTATACCTTTGAAACGTAATTCTTTAACGTGCGTGCGTAGCCTCGTCAGCAAGGTCACCCGCCCCCCACCCGGCCGCATTCCGCAGCGGTATCGGCCAGATTTCTCGACGGGCATTGTAAAGTTTTTTGCGATCTATACTGACGTCTGTTTTTCGCGTCTAATTTTGTTAAGAAAGTATCAACCCGCGTAAATCGTTGCGAGAACATGTATTGTTCTTTAGGACTTATTAACTTCTGTTAAATTAATTGTGCAACTCCTATAGTGATTTTCCTTTGAAGTTCTACGTTTTGCTGTACCATTGCGTGACAAAACAGAAAGAGTGCCTCAAGAGGGGAATAGTTCCGAGGCTACCAGCGGATACCTTCTCCAGGACTGCATTGTGTCATCTAGACCAGGCCACATACACACACACATTCATACAAGCACACATACATTCACGACACTTCCATCAGCCGGGCCGGTCCCGGTGAACCGTCTCCGCTCTTGAGGCAGGTAAGTGCCTTTCTCTTACCGATCCTTCCCCCTTGTTTATTTTAATTAGAGAACTTCCACTTTGGCCTTAAAGGCCCGACCTGCATCTGCCTGTAGGTTCTTCTT